AGCCCAAGGAAGCCACATCAAATCCTTTTCCACTGTGTCCTGTTTGTGCTAAGTGTCTGAAAGCAGTTGCTGTCGTATGCTTGTACCTTTTTTGGGCTTCGTAAGCAAGTCCAACCCTTGTCCTTCCACAGTGCTTAACGTGGTCGCAAATAACTTGAAATATCTGGCCTTTTTCCAAAATATCTCTCGCCATTATCTTTTCTCCCTTGTCTTTCTCAGGTTCAGACACAAAAGAATGCAACGGGAGCGTAACTGCTACAATCAAGTGTTCTTTCGGAACTTCTGTAAATAGTCTCCTTCCTATGGAGTGCTGTTTTCAAATAGATTCACTAACAGAGCAAATAGTTGTTCTTAAGCAACGATATGCCGTGGAAATCGTCGTACTACCATGATAAAAACTTCTTCGGTTTTGCTCCCGGTGTGAAATCCCTTGGTCTTGATCTAGTCAGCAGGATGTTCGTTCTTCTACCACTTGAATTACGCAATATATGGTTGGTTTTTGAAAGAGATCCAGTTTTCGGTTCGTTAGCCTACTGGAACCATCTCTTGGGATGCAATGCTGAAACCGCGCAGAGTGCTAGATCGATAGATGCTTTGGTAGACGCGATCCCGTCGTATGTTTGATGCCAGTCATGTTTCTCAAGAGGAGCTATATCACTTAATGACACATTCAACTGGTGCCATGTTCGAGTGTCATTAGGTTTTCTTTGAGATAACAAGCTGGCTGTTTGTCTCTATTATCGTTCAGCATCCTTCGATGGTCCTGTCAACTGCAAACAGTTTGCTGGTGCAGTTAGTTTCCAAAGCAAGCACACAAAACTGTTCGAGATTTCAATCGTTTTATCTGCGGAATCTTGACTGATTTATCGTAGTTCAGCTACAGACTACCAAACGTGCAACTTACACGGAGGGCAGCATCTCCCCGGAGGTGGTTGCGGCATTTGGTCCATTCTCTCAATCGAGTCGAACGTCCGTATGCATGGTTGGCAGTGATCGGTGCATAACCAACGGTAATCATGTGCGCATACACATAGAAGACTCCGGCACGGTCTGGTTAGCATCAGTCGGGATCCCGGTGGGAACGGTGCCATTTGTCGTGTGTCAGCTCCATCTAAAGCCGGACATCCGCCTGTAGATGCTACATGTGGAGCCTTGATTTCAGCAGCTTCCATTACCCTTTGCAGTTTATCAACAGGCGAGGCTTTTGTTTGCAGCACGCTTTCCGGGGCCGGTTGTCCGATAAATGTTGGCTTGGTGTTGAAATGGTCCTTTATTTGGAGTGGTGGCTGTGTCAACGCGGTTTCCGCCTCTCCTAAAACGATTTTAAATGAAATGAATTTTAACAGTGATAAAGGTGTGCAACAAGTTACATAATAACGGTTTCTAGTCTAGACAATTTGAACCTCAGATGACCCAGAATGTGACAATAAATGGAGTTAATATGGCTTTCAGTAGACAATTTGAACCTCAGATGACCCAGAATGTGACAATAAATGGAGTTAAATATGGCTTTCAGCAGAACGAAAGTACTACTGCTGTGAAACTGACGTTTTTGGCTCTTTAATATGCTGATCAAAGGTCCACGGGAAACAGGCCTTCCAGGGTGGGATCCGCTTGTTTCTCATAGCACGAACTTAGATACCCTACGGGACGTGGCACGGAACTGGTCTGATTGTTCGGCGTCCTGTAACTTCCTAATTGAACCACCTAGCTAAACTGCATCATTGTGTGATGGGCTGACGTCCAGCAAATGACGTTGAATCAATCCCGCTAGGAGCACTGTAGTTCATTTTTATGCTGAGATACACTTACCTCGCTGCTGTTCCAATAAACAGGCACTTTATGGTTGATCGTTTTCCCGAGGGACATCGGGCCTTTCCCTCTCTTCCCTCTACTGGATATTTCTGAGGGGAGGTGGCTTAGTGGTCAGAGCGCGAATCCGACCTCTGGGTCTCGAGTTTTCATTTCAGTATCCCAGCCTTCATGGTTCTTTCGGGTGGCATGGCAGCTAGGCACCGAAAGCGTGTTACAGCTGAACACTTTTCCACTGGATATTCTATATCATGATTGCACGAGATTTAGACACCAGCATTTATTACTGGTTTATATCTGATGGTGATGGTGACCACGTCCTCGCAATCTTTGCACAGCTTCAGTACTTTTCCATCAGGGGTCTGACAGAATATACAAGGCCTGAAATACTAAAATCGGATCAATTCAGTTTAGAAGAAGGGTCCAAGTACTCGTAATGACCAGAAAATGCGTTTAAATCCCAAAATAAGCAAGATGGAATACCGCATCCTTCGCTGATCACTTTAGGCATGGTAGCAGTGTCCGATTATTCCCCAACATGGTTTCGAATTTTATATGTCGTTGAAACATGCATGGTTTTGAAAAGAAATGCTAACCAACTCACCCGAGTTATTGAGGTTGTACAAGGATTTGACATTAGGCGCTGGAGAATCAGCTTCAAGCTGTATTTTAGTTAAGTTCATTACGCTGGCCTTCAGAGGGAACAATCCTACTTTGTTGGCCCCTGAAGTTCAAACCCTTCCTCGATGAGCGGCGTTCAGTAAATTACTCAGAACCCAAAGAGGGATGTAGCTAAAAGTCAAAAACACATCGACGACGTAGTCTGCTCCGACAGTGGGGATGCAGTCAGAAGTGGTCGACTACCTCGCCGAATGTTCACTAAAGGAACTAAGACCGAGTAGATCGTGACCTAGAAGATGTGTCTTTGTGCTGAAAGGTCAGCTGCTGTTGGATTGAAACTATGATCGTGTTTTGTAGTTGCCATTACAAGGGAGAGACAGTAGGGACGTTTCGCTCTATCTGACATCTTAGAACACAGACTTCCGCCGGTATGGCAGTCAACAGTACCTCATAATGATTGAACTGGTCAGATTATTTTCCATCTTATGGACAGGGACTATTCGACCATTTCAAATTTACCTATCATAAACTGATTGTATTTAGTTGATTTGCAATGAGAAACGTACTAGAGTTGTCTCAAAGTCACTACAGCGGCTGTCGAATGCTGGTACCGCTGGACGTCAGAAGCGGGTGCAGTGAATGGACACCTCAATCATTTAGACTACTTCGTTGTTCATCAGTAGTTCGTCCTTGATTCACTTCAAAGGATGTGAAAACGACATGGCATTGGAGAGTTTAGGGCACATGCAAAGTTCCCGAAAGCTCTTAGTAAGAAACAAAAGAACGTCCACCGGAGGACGTTTTGAAATCAAGTCTAAATAAATTTTTAAAAAATCCTGATCCGTAAGTTTAACTTGAGCCATCCTTGAAAATCAGCGGCTAGCGGTAAGCCCATTGCCTCGACAATACTGTTTCAACGGGAAAATTCATGGTTCACAACGAGAAAACCAAACGAAAAGCCGGATGGCAAACTAGGCTGTCTGCTTTTCAGTTTCGCGTAGGTCTAAATTGGATAAGCACGTTAGTGTCAAACTAATGTTTCACTTGTAGTCTTGTTGCTATGACATCGTAAGGGTGGAAGCCAAAATTCCACCACTTGGATGTTGATGGATGAAGGTTGATAAAGCGGTACCCTTGTCCATATATGGAACTCAGTTGATCGTAATAATATTTAACTCAAGCTATTCTGTGTTTAGTAACCATGTTTTCTGAGACAAACTCACTTTGGTTCGGAACAAACGTAAGCCGTTCAGCCGAAAAACTTTTTTACTTAGGTGGCTAGAGGTCGGCGATTTGAATTTCGGCACGCCGGAGGCTCATTTAGGATTTGCTAGCATCACACGATGTGCTTTTTTCCTAGTGACTTGTACAAAGTGGACGGGAACTGTACTTATTGTGCCAGGTTTTTATATTATTGTTTATATTTTAAGAAAAACCAAGCAGCAAAGGCTGATTTTTTTTGCCGAATTTTCTGTACATCAGCTTTTACTTCCGAGGGCAAGAATACTTGTGTATTACACTTGATAATACGCTGATCGCAGTGAAAAATACATCACAGCGTGAACTAACATCGAAGTAGGTGATTGTCGTATATCTACGGGAGTGTCGTCACTGTCAACAACCTTTGTCGCGAAGTATCTGGGGCTACATCGGACAGTGCTGGGTTTGCGTAGTGAAAACATCTCACTTTCTGGCTGTTGTTGTCACTGAATCCCCATCAGGCTACTGAGGAATTATGCGAATCCCTAGGGTTCGTTTTTTGGAGGGCGTTTGTCGTATGCCACGAATGCAGAAACATTTGTAACTGAGGAATCTTCATACTAGAAGATGAGTCGTTGAGCGTTGCGTCTTAGGGGTCCAGTTGCTTTAGCTCATCCTGATCTAACACAATGCTAGCCATCTTGAGGTGTTGTCGTTGGTTTTGATTCAATGTAGACTACACATGGTTCAATGGTTCTGGTAATAGTCTGTTGCTTGGATAATTTCATCTGCCTTAAAATCATAACGTAAGCGGCTTAGAAAGTAACAATTCAGATCGGTCGACCGCGATTGCATAACTCTAATTAGTGTTTGTCTTAGCTAGTTTTATCAAGAAGCCTACGTTAACAGATACTAATATCAAAGTAATCTTTGAGATCCGGACATGGTCTAACATGACTTCCATTAAAAGTTAAGGTATCCTAAAGGATCTTTTGGACCTTAAAGTTCGTCTCACGGGCTGAGTATTATCTGGGGATTCTAGAGTTCACAGCAGTCTTACTTTTTTTCTATTAATGAGGTCCAACAATTTCTCCACAGAGGTATTTGGATAATTAATTGAATTTATCTTCTCCCACAGTATGCTAAAATGTTTGTTTGACTGAGGTAGTTTGACAGGTGGAAATTTCCACTATTCTGGATTATCCTTTGTAAAAATGTAAGATAAAGCAAGGCTTGGGGCAGTTTGCAGTTGTTCCAAATTTGCCACAATCTTAACGTACTTGATCCTGGATTCGAGGGTATGATAAACTGTCTTCTGATTTGCTCCGTCAACAGGTCATCTCGATCAGACAATAAATTGGTAATGGATAGTGGGAGGTGCGCCCACAGACTGCGAATATGCGAAGCTCGCAGCCTTTGTTCAGATGTTTGATTTGGAATACCAGACAATATGAATCAACTGGATAAATCAGCGAACCATGGCAATCAAACCATAAGTAACTGCTGGAAGGATGGCCCAGTCGCCCATCTCCCACCGCATAATAAGCATACTAAGTAATCTTGGCCTTTTTATCCTCCCGATGTCCGGGGTCCAAAATTTATTGTTTGATTTCAATGTCACAAGAATAGCCTGTGACATTTGGCTAAGTTCAGCTGTGGAAACGAAACGGGTGCATGCAACCGCACTTTGTTTTGCTGCTTCAGGACCTGATGACTTCCGGTACAAAAGTATTCAGAAGTTGAAGGCCTATGGACTTCAAGTGAATAAGCAGCACTCCAAAAGCATAGCGGGTCAATCAAGGCTTCCCTGAGGAAGTGGGACAATAACGTTTTCTTATTTTAGAACTTGGCAAACCCTTCTGGATGTTTGGTGTATACTGGCTATGATATTTCCTTCACACACCGGTCGGTGAACTGATGAGACTCATCAAGGCATGTTGTTTTTGAGCTGGCGTTGTCCACATAGCCACACTTGAAAATGACTTTCTCAGACATCTGAAATCGCCTACAGCATGGACTATCCTGATCTTCAGTGTCTAACTTTTGTTCACGACTGCTACCGGACCAGCATTAAAGTCAGTTCAGTGCTGGCCCGTAAACGCTGCTGATGAACAGCCTCTAATCTCGTCCTCAAGTGAGCCGCTTCACCTTCACTTATCGGGGCCAGTAGGTCAAGGCAAGCGCTAGGCAACCCAGAGTCCTGTATGGAACAAAATTATTGCACTTAGTTCGTCAGCACACACTCTTGGCTAGTAAGGCTGACAGAACACTCAACAGGGAAGATAAACTTCTATTATGCATTGTGGAAGTCGGAAATTTACTTTCTTCTGTGTCCTGTTCCGGCGCGGGTTTCGACAATCCTGATGAGATAGTGGGGCTTCACTGCACACCGGTTTTTTTCCAGATTCCGTTCAAACGAATCCTTTGCCAAGCTCGTAGGTGTCAAGTTAAGTGGAAGTTTTTACGTCTGACGAACGTTTTTGGCAGAACACACTTGTGAAAGTTTTATGGTTTAATCGATAAACGTGCACTTCAGACGAATTGAGCTTGGTGTGGATATTTATAGCCCCGAAAAAGTAGACACCCGCAGATGATCACCAGCAAATTCTCTGTTGGAAGTAACTACGACAGCATTCGCAAAGTCGAACAGGGCAAAAATGTGTATGTTAATTAAACCAGAAATGAACGGGATTCCATCTATTTTTGCATGTAAAGCAGCGTACCTACCAGATTTCGTTCGAAACCCGCAAGTTGAAGGACAACATTCACCTGCCTCCGCAATGGGCTTTTGCCCGGAGGGACACAGAAAGAGATCTGTACACTTTTTTGGCGCACATGTATACGTTCGATTGTGTAGGCAGCGGCATTCGGTGCACGGATCTCCATGTGGTATCCATTGAGCCTCCGGCGGGTAGTACGTTTCTTCTGTTCCGTCCGCAAAATAACAGTCCTCGTCATGCCAGATGTTGCGACCTATGCTTTTTAGTGACGAAAAAGAGCGACAATACCAAACAATTACTGTTCTCATAAATATAAGGGCGGTGAGATTATCAGAAATCCGTTTGGATTAAAAAAACAGCTGATTTTCCGGAGTGCTTAATCTGTGAATTTCACGAACCTACTTGCACAAAATATTTGCGCCATTGGTGAAGTTTGGGTACTGGGCTTTTGATGATCAGCTTACATTCATACAAGCATGTAGTGTACATGTGTGCATTTTAGTTGTTTTACAAGAGAGATTTTCATAGGATTTCGTCCATCTGCGATTTAAAATAAACTAGTAGACATTTTCATAACAAAGGCGGGTGCCGGGAATTTAACCACAAAGCAACAAATTGGTCAATCAGTTAACCACAGTATTCGCGGTTGACTGCTTCGATACGGTTTGAATCAATCTGATGTACTTTTTAACCATTGCAGTTACCGAATTGGTGCAAACCTGTGCGTTACAAATGAGGTGGCATATTCTACATTGGTCGTTTACACGGCAGGGACAAAATCGGTCATCTGCTTGAAGTATGACTGAACCGGGACTACAACTCTAAAAATAACTTTGCAGCCATCCGTTTTGCACTATGGACATTTATCTCGAGCTTAGCCACAGGAGTGAAAATAAACTTACGGGGATACGGCTGTACTACGACCCTTTTACCCAAGATTCAAAGAGAGTTCATTCCCTGTATCATCAAGGCGCATAACTATGTGATTCCGTCATCACGGCAGAAAAAATCACAAGGCATAGATAGATACAATATAACCCCATTTGACACCTTTCATCAGCGCCGTGCAGAGTGAACCTTTTCCCACCTAGCAGGCCCAGAAATTTACCTCCTACTTGTTATATACTTGCTTGGCTTCTGTGCCAGCTGACTAGTTCTATGAACTAACAAGCACATAGTCTGCGCTGCTGGTTGTTGGAGAGATTTTAAGGAGTAGGAACTGTTTAAATGGTTGGTTGTTTTGCTTGCTGACACAAGTAACTGGGTTGCAAGCGTTTCATCACCAGTCGAATCGCTGTCGTCAGTGCGAAGTGGATTGTGCGTTCTGGCGTGGGCGACAAGCAGGGCCATGCTTGAGTTTGCGTTTCTGTGCGCGTTGATGACTGGCCGTTTCGCTGGCTAGTCCTACTGGTCGGCTCGATGAATGGTCGAAGGTTCGAAGGTTCCGCTCTTTCCACGGCTTACCGTGCCACCTGATTTCTGACAGTGAGTCCCAACTGAGTCGACGATTCTTTGCTCCTATTGGTATGTAGGCTGGTTGATCTCAATATGCCAATTAATGTTTTTACTGTGGACCAGTATGTGAAAAAATCGCTACTGCGACCAGAAAGTTCTTTGCAGTCCACAAGCCAAATGAGACATGGAGACTATTGATCTAAAGACCAGAGAATGAAATCAATTGGTTTAGACAAGAAACGTCGCCATGTACCAAACTAATCGAGTGGATTAACACAAGATCTTCGCTGGCCAGTGAACTGTGGCCTCCGGTTTTCACACACAGAGATCAGGGTCTAAATACGTAAATAACCAGCGGACTTAATGAAGCGTGTAGCTCTTGGCGCTTGAGAACCGATCCAAACACATTCGAACGTCATATTCCGTCAACTACATTCACACAAAAGAAAACAAACAAAACGTTGTTCGATACACACACCTTGATGCATTGTTAAACGTTGACAGAGCGCAACTCCATTATGCGTTGATGATGCCACTTCGATTAATACTGAAACGTCTGCAACCGAATTTCGTGCCTCAGTGATCAGATTAACGACCACTGTTGGCTTGCATAGCAGTACGATCTGTTAGGAGATATTTGAAACACTCTCCTGTAAGGCAGGATACTTTAAGATCGGTAACTCATTTCATGTCTCGCTAGGTGCGTAGCAAATTTACGGCACACTACGGTTAAAAACTCAACACAAAAGCGGAACCGGTCGAACCGTGTTTGCCAGTTGGTCGAATAGTTCGCAGTTCTGCTCGATTGCTCTCGAATTACTCCGACGTTGAGAATTCAGTGTTGGGGATGTTACGTAAAACTAAGCAGTCTATGGTTGTGCGTATTAAAGGGAAGAAATGAGTACGGTCGTTGCTCTAGCCGTTACTGAAACAGAACGACGAGCTGAGCATTCATTTTGCATAAACCAAACCAACGGATTTGGTCAAGTCAGGTCGTTCGGAATGCTGTATCAAAGTTCAGCTCGTCCACTTCTTCCCATTTATTATATTTAAGGCGACACCAAAAAATCGATTAACGATGTTCAGACTGTTGAAAAGATGCTGCAATAATATCCTAGGTCACACCAAATTCGAATTCAGTCCGTGAAGATAGAAAACTAAAGCCCTAGGCAAGGTGGTATTGCTGGTTAGCCACACAAGTTGAGAGCAGCCACGCAAGTAATCACTCATTTTGGCTATGATATTTAACAATTGGACAGGTCTTAGAAAGGTGGCTGAACTAATGCGGGTTATATGGGCGGAAAAATGTGCTATTTTAATAGTTTTTTGAAATTCTGAAACGTCAGTTGATGTCAAACTAGAAAACAAGCTAAGAGAAGGTGATATATATGTATATAGATATAAATATATATAAGTAAATGTATATATTGTGCCAAAGTGGAGTCACATCCACATCCTACCTCCGCATCTAAGTGCAAGCATGAAATTTCAAATGATTGCGTAAAGGTTGTATATTCCACTCACAAAATGGTTTTAATCCTGATAACTCTGAATGAAAAACTGGTTCCCACACGGAAGACATCTAGCTAAAAAAAAACCTCTTGGCTTTTGACCTTTTGGAACTCAAATTTTATTCATGAGGGCTTATCGGGAACACAGACCTTAAGAAACATTGAATGACTCGGGCATGAACTGAAGTTAGTCATGTTAGACGAAGACAGCTAGATTCAAGCCTGTGATCAATGAAGGGCACCACGCGTGTAATACTAGAGTAACGTCATCTCTGCTGCCATCTTTCGTATAACAAGAAGATCGTCCAAGTGTGTGTACGCAGCAGTACCAACCCCGTCTAATTCTCACACTGCTAAGGAACATGAGCCTATCAGGTCGCACATTCCCTGATGCGTTTTCGCAGAACGTACGGTAAAAGTGAGCACTATGAGCGCTCTAGACCACCCTCACAGATGGTACAGAGCCTGAGAATTTTAGTCTATTACATCATACTACTAGTGCGCGCAGCAAGTTGACCGAGGTCAGCGGTCATTCCTTCTCACTCTGTCAGGGTGTTAACAGGCCTCTGCAGGACTTAGTTAAGTAGTTCCTAAGAAAAGCGGTTGAGCTATTGTTGCCCTCTTCGCTATAACTGATTTAGAAAGGAAAACGGTAAACTGTTTTCCATGAGTGGGCAAGTTGTATTGTTCACAATACTGGAAAATTGCCAGCCTATCATTCAAAAGATGCGAATTTTATCTGGAACACAGAGCATCAGACAGAAAACGGTTCTTCCCAAAAGAAGAAGTACCCTTTTAACTAAGGGTTTACCATTAAAGCTTTCGATAGGAAAAGGCCTCTTGCGGTTGCCCAAGGAGTTCATCTTTTTCGAATGGACAGTTCTTGGGGTGCTGTTTTAGAGACAGCTATAGGGTGTTCTGGTTTTATATTTCATGTTTTTTTGTCGTAAGATATATCCAAACTGGTCATGGTCACAATTAACCGTTGTGGGGCTGCTTTTTATTCTAGCCCAATGTAATCATTCGCTAACAAATCTAAGCATCATTTGATCTGATGAGCTTTTCAACAACAGCCCCGATACGCTCGATGGTCTTTCTTTCAAATCAGCTAGAACTTCACCGCTAGGTTACATTTCATATGTGAATTACACTAGAGTGGATTCGGGCAAAAAATGGGACAAAACGCTGATCCTAAAGCTAAGCGAATTAAATAAAAAACGCATTCTCAAGCGCGATTATTTTGACTGGACTGCACTTGTGTTTGCAGCTTTTCACTGATTGTCTTGCTTATCTTGTTTTAGCGCTTCACTGGGCACGACAAATGGGAGTCTCCAAATGTCGGTGACTTGTGCCCTACACTTCCAAATGACTGGAAGTGCAGCTCCAGCCATACCCCCGACCGGTAACGAGAGAGCAGATAATTTGTTTGATCTTCCATGTTGTAGTAAGAGTGAACAGCGTTTTTGCCTCAGAAATTTGACATTTGCATTCAGCAGAGAATGAATGTTGGCACTCAAGTATCAGTGTTTTACTGTCTGATGTGATCAATTACGTACAACATTTGGGCCATTATTAAGCTGCGCGAGCACTTTGTCTAAAGTGGTCACCACAGAAATCCCATTATCCTCTTTTATAATCATTTGCTGTTCCCCTTTTTTGTGTAATGGCTGTTCTTTGGGTTGGACGAAAAAAATGCTGTGACGTAAAATATGTTTTGCTTCGAGTGAAATCCAAATCGGTTACGTTACCTGTAAAATCGAACAACATGGAGTGGCGATAATACTGAAATCTTTCCTAACAAAACAGGTATGAATCACAGCACGACCTTTGACCTCTGGAACGTTGGGTTTGTTGACTGATTCCTAAGCGTTCAGTTTCTCTTATGTATACTTAAGACAAAGCGTAAACCGTGTAACCAGAAAAGTTCTACCGTCGCTACACATTTATGATTAAAATCTTCTTGTCTTAACGACAGATGATCACACTACTTCTCAGTCGCTCGAGACCGCACGGGCAGGTGTTCAACCACTTGCTGGAAGATCACGAGTTCGAAGCTTTCTGGTTTTAGTGAGATGGGCAATGCTCATTTTTTTAGTAAAGGGAAGACAACTGTGCAGTGCTTTTCGGCCTTTCAGCGTAGATTAGCGTCAGTGACAGGATGAAATATTAATTGAAATTGAAATATCTTCTCACAAGTGGATCAGTCTTCTAGTAAATTAGTAGTAGTTGCTATTACAAGTTGCAAGTGGAATCTTCTGCACAGCCTGAACATACATATGCACATGAAAAGTGGTCAGCAATTTATTAAGACCAATTAGAGGCTCATATCCCAGCTGCCACTCCCTAGACGTACCCCAACATGTTGTAGATCTGATAAAAATTTAAAAAATTCAAAATGTATCACCTTGCCGGGAACAGAAGATGGTGGAATTCAAACAAAAGCAGTAGCCTTCTTGTAGGGCAACTTCACTTCCAGGCGAGATGGTAACCTCCTTCAGTGTTCGTGACCGATTTTCTAGCAGACTGTCCCAACCGCTGTGTGACAACCGCTGCAAACGTGTTTCGCTCCTCGGATTCGATATCTCAGGTTTGAATGTTGTAACAGTGCCCGTCGATAGAGTAATTGGTCCACGAGGGGATGAAGTGTTGTCCACGTCAGTGTGCATGCTCACTGTACAGTCTGCGGTTCCTGAGAATATGGAAGAAGCAACGCATATTTAAGTGGTCTGAAAATGAATGAATAAGTGAATCAATAAGTAGGTGACTAGCTTTTTGAGAGAACTGATGTGGGATCAAATCGTACTTAGAAAAAACTTCCGTGAACTTCATTAGACAAGTTGTGCCAAGAGAATACTTTAAAACCATACAAAATCATTGATATCTGATGTACTGAACGATTCAAAAGATATCGTGTCCAAGTGCACAGAACTCCCCAAGGTAAAAGATATTTTGCTTTTGACGTAAATTCATCTTGAATTTGTTGCGAAAGCCCCAGAAGAATTGGTGGGAAGCGCATTTTACGGAAACTAAAACAAGGCTGCGTATAAAGAACGAAGATTTTAATTAATTTATTATAAGAAGGTAGGGATGAAATCCTTTTGGACACAACGCACAAGTTTCTAGGAGAAAAAGTTCATTGAGGTGTTGCGTTGCCGGAGTAACAACACAACCTCAAAAGCGGAGTCCTTACTTGATTTTTGGAATATGTAATGAGATGCCCGGAGAATGTGTACGGTATGGAGAATCATTCCAGCTAAATTATACTCTCCATTGTATTCAAACAGGTTAACCAAAGTCCACTTAACCTTCCACTTAACTCCACAATAAACTCAGGTTAAAGTATGCTGTTATGCTCATCGTTTAGGCAAGATTTTTTTCTTAGGATTTGGCCACGAGAATTGTTGGCTCAATAGAACCAGGATCAATGATACGTTTAGGGTAGAGATACGTTTGGCGACTCGACTCACTTCAGCTCCAGGATGGTTTTTCTTAAAAGAAATGTGGCAGCCTTTGGATATTGTTTTGCACGCTTGACTTTGTATCAAGCAGGTTGAGGAATTTAGTAGTTCTTACTATATGATTAAAAATAGGGTTTACCAAACGTGGTAATGCACAGTATCCTTCTTGCGGGTGTGACAGTTGTAGGAAATCTTTGCGCGTAACCTGGATGAGTTCCTTGGTTGCAACTTTCAGTTGCCAGCTCAGTGCGCCATCTTGCTAGGATTGAAACTGTTTTTGTGCTTGATTGCCAGATGTAGCGGTTTGAAGGATCTCACAGTATGCTGCTCACCACTATTGAGCACAAAGTCACGAGGCTCGTTTGTTTGTTCTGGTATACCGGTATAACAGCGGTATGCCGTCTTGGAACATAACCCTCATAACAGGAAAAGAAAGGGGATTCTCTTCATTCAATATCACTGGTGATTAGTTAAATAATCTGAATGTGTCTACCCTAAATTCACAATATTTGTTTGAAGATTCAAACATTCGTTGTACAAAACGTTTAAATGGGCAGAACATGCAAGGTCTATGGGTCTGAATGACCGTAAAAATATTCTACTTCCCTCCTCATAGTAAACGTGAACTGATAAAAACAACTAGGCGTATTGATTTCTGATAAATTTACACTTGGATGGAACGGCGTATGTGAAGATATCTGATACTTAGTAGGGATGGGAACCCACTTGCTGTAAACATCCAAGGTTTTGCGAAGCATGTGTATTAGGTATGTACTTCTCTAATCCCGAAGTCAGCTTATGAAATTTTGTCGCAATACAACTACATCTGTGTCAACAAAGTGATTCCTGTTGGTAGGTTGCATGGGTGGTTTTGAGAAAGCTTCACTGTGTTTAATTAAACCATCAGGCCGCCTCTTCACAGGGCATTTAGGAAGGTGTATGATGAGAAGACAGCAAAGAAAGCTTTTCTATGTATCTGAAGGTCAGAAGATAAATTCTTCTCCAATTTCGTAATTGAGACAGTCATGTCTATTAAAGGGCGCTAGTATAAGGGTAAGGCGTCTTGTGTGTTCCACTTCAGGGTGTGAACCGAAGCTTATGTGTGAATGTTATCAACCTCAAGAATTTCTGACAGAATACTACACTATCCGAATAGAACAGGTGGATCTTACTATCAGCGGATATATATAAAATACTATTACGTAGCGACAACTGCTTGCCTCAGAGAGAATATCAACGTAGAACGATAGGCCGAGTGCTAGATCACCTGTTGGTGACGACCGATGTTTTTATATCCTATTTCTCCGATTCGCATTCGAGAGGTGGTGATGAAAAGCCTGACAGCTGTTTTATTCTTGGAAACACAAAACAATAATAAGTATGATAAGATTTAACTGCATTTTTGTGAGTGAAATTTCAATAGAAACTCACAGCGCTTGCTGAAATAGAATGATAAATATATTTCCTCTGTTAGCTAGAAAGCAGGCGCACAAAAAATAGAGCAGCAACTTCTTGGCCTTGAAGTACAATGCTTGTACGGTTTTTAAATTCAAGAATCATCTGTCCACAGAGCGTGACTATCACTCTTGGAGCAAAGCATGATAATATCAGCTGACCTTTTTTGTAAACATTATCTTATGCGAAGGGAAGATATATCATCACTACAAAAAGGAATAAAAAGCCGCTGTTGTGACAGGCGATTAGAGAAACGTTCGGTTTGATAAGAGATAATTTGTGAGGTCTGGAAGTAACATTTCATTCATGATGTTGCCGGAGAACATCATTAAAGAAAGGTTCAGCTAGATTCAGTTGCGTTGCTGTTTAAAAACCAGTGATTGTGCAGTTTTCCGCATATTTGGTTTGAAAAAAACGGTAAAATTGGTACCCTATTAGTAGTCATTCAACTTATTGTTTCAAAACCGATGGAAGATCTGAAAATATGGTAGCAACAATGAGAAAGACAAGAACATTTTAGCGGAATACACTCATTTGCAAACTGATTTGGTTTTTTGAGAGACTCACATGGAACCCAGCTGAATCTCTCGGAAACATCTCGGAAGCACCAAAACCGAGAGATTCAGCTAGGGTTCTATGTGAGCCTCTCAGAAAACAAATTTGTTTTGAAATGATTGTTTTGTTTTCAGGTAGAACATAAGGCTAACTGAAACTCGAGGACTGCGCCTACCCGATGAGCCCCAAGAAGGGCGAAACCGATAATGGGTTGTCGAGGAATTTTCAGCAAACTTATGAGTAGCGCGTTACATGGAAATTTTCTCCAATCGCTTTTTGGCAAAATAGATTTGCGGGCTATCAAGCAGTTAAAGTACAATCCGTTCCCAGGGCAATGTATTTGCTAGTGTTCATTGCACTGTATCCATTTTCAAAACGTTCAGTCATCTGTCCAGTAGTTTTCAGGTATTAAGTCGGATTGAAGACAACCTCAACGCAAAGCTGGGGCTGAAATACAGTAAAAGGATTTTCAAACAATCACATTAGCTGTCACAACATGAGAATTGGAAATGAAAGAAAGTGGCACCTACCTGCACAACGCGGACAACAGAAGGGGTCCCAGACGATTACGCTTTCTCTCTGACAAGGTAATTCTGGTAGCGGTGCACAGTAGTCCAAGCAGTCCCACCGCCCATTAACACAATGACATTGCTGATCAACACATGAACCGGGAAGCCAAATGTGGTCACCATGAGCATGTATGACACCGGTTTTTGGTTGCAAACAGTTGGCGAAGTTCAAGGAAAGGTTAGCGACAGCTGGGATATATAAAAACGAAGTTGATAAGTTCTGGAGCTTCGAAAAGGAACTGATTATACTAAGTGAGAAGTAGTACATGTGTCTGGTTATTAGGTGCTGAGGAAATAGGGAAATACCACAAGAAAAAGGAGGGATGTTTTTATGAGTGTAGAACTTATAACGTAGAAGGCCTTTAGTTAATTCACTTCCCGAGAGCCGAGCTAACCATAGTTGGCTCTTCAAAAAAACATTCAATGTGTACACAAGGAACTGAAAAAAGGAAGTGCCCACTGGTTTTTGATGAAACCTGATCAGCTGAAAAGTTTGTCTTTTTAGTTATTGTGATTTTGACGCCTCGTAAGTTTGAGCAGAAACTAACCTTTACATGGAATTATCATTTATTTTTGAAGAGCATG